ATCACGAGATATTTACGTTTCAAATTTTTTATTCAGGTGATGCATTCTTTATTGGGATCCACTGTATCTGGAGTTGTTACAGTAGTATCGGTTTTACTGTCATCAAGGGTCATGCTTTGTCTTTTTGCAGATTTAGCAAGTTCTTCTAGTCTAGCCCTTTCTTCATTTTCTAGTTCTTGTTTAAGACTCTCAAGAGATAAGTATACACGATTATTATATGATGTACCAGATTTCAAGGCATCTTCATTAAACTAAAAAATATTTAGAGGAAAAACAAGTTTTCAGAAAATAAAATTATGTAAGCACAAAATTGAGATAATATTGAAATAACCAAAATCACCTGAAAATCCATCCCGATTCCCTTTTCGTTTTGTAAATCGAGAATTTTTAATAAACGTCGGCTAAAGATTGGTAAAAAGTTATTATGATTATGAATTATTATTATTATTATTATTATTATTATGTAATAATCCAAATGATGCTATATGATTCTATTGACATACCCAATGCCGTTAATTACACCAACATTATCTTTATCTCTAACCCATACAGCAATACGATCACCTCTAATTCTGCGAGACATTACTATATAAAGTAAAGCAATATAATTATATAATAAATGCATATAATCTATAAATAAATAAATAATATCTAAAACGTACCGGCACCACAAATATCATCATTTTCATCTAACTCTTCACCAACCAACGCACATACGAGCCAAGTCCAACATCGATCGAGCAATGGGGGGTTTCTCATAGAGATTACCCATTTTCCACCCTAAAAAGATAGGGGTTTGCATAAATGATTGAAATTTGAATCAGGATAATAATAAATGCAATTCATACATTAGCATTAGCGGGATCTTCCCACATTGGTTTAATTTTATCTTTAAATATATGGAAGTTCGTATTCAACTCCAGTTGACTGGGTTTTTTTACCCAATTAAAATATCTACAAAAAGCTTCGACCTTTTAAAAAAGAATGAAAGAAAAAAGAAAGGCCAAAATAATCAATATAAAGATATAAAGACAAAATAGAGAAATAGAAAGATAGAAAGTTAATAAATAGATAAATTAATAAATAGATAAAAATAAATAAATAAATAAATAACGATTACATCATAATTACCGTGTCGAAAGTACCAATAGTCTGTAAATTTTCTTCATACGATAACATTCCTGTTGGTGTTTTAGGGCCGGGAGTCATAACTGGTTTACTATCATAGTACATTGTCCTGTTAAGAAAAAAAAAAAAAGTAGCAATTCAGTAATTCCAAACTTTAATAAAAATATGAATAATAAAAATATGGATCAATCATAATAATAAAAATATGAATCAATCATAATAATAATAATAAAAAATTATATATACCAAGAATGTTGAAGAGGATGCTTTTTTTCTAATTCTTTTAAAAATGAAGCAGGTAAAGTATTATTACTATCCATAGCAGAGTTATGACTTCTAGACCGATTCAAAGGAAGACCAGCGACCACTAGTGGAGAATCATTATTCTTTCCAACACGTTGACCCGATTGAGTTCTTTGCATAGCTTTGCTTCCAAGTAAATGACTGAAAGTCTCAACATGAAGTTTCGGACGCGTAGAGACAACTCCAGATACAGTGGATCCCAATAAAGAATGCATCACCTGAATAAAAAATTTGAAACGTAAATATCTCGTGAT